ACGGTGCTGCAGGGATTATATATAGGTGTAGTAGTACCTCTTCGGGCTCTTGTACACCTTTTTCTTGCTACGTGTGCGTGTTCTTTAGATCCTCAGATGGCTCTAGCACTTTCGTGACCACGGGCTGAGAGTCTTTGCTAGATTTTGGCATTTAGCAACTGGCATACGGTTCAATGTGAAGTCAACAACAACAACAACAATCGGTCCGAGGTAGCTTACACTCTTACGTGTGTGGACAGAAACCAAAATAATAGCCCGGGGAAATAGGCCCGGAGAAAGGTAGGCGCTAAAAACGCATCGGAGCATATACAGTTGTACACTTACACCCACGACGTCCCCGGAAGCCGTGGTGGCGTTCTTGAAGGTCCGTCCGTCTGATGTCTTCGCGCCAGCGCAGTGCTTGAACACGGCGTGGAAGTTGTCCCAGACTGCCTGGTGGGAATACAGCGAAACAATGGCCAGGGAGAGCGAACGATCATGATCTATGTGTATATATGCGATCACCGCATGTATATTTCTACGGAGGTAGCACAAACGACCGTGCGCACTTCCAAAAACAACGCGAAAACACAGCAACGAGAACGCGTCACAGTAGCAGAACCATACGATTACTATGTTGAGAGCACACACCACACGGATCTTACCTGTGTATCCGCGGTCGTCTTTCTCGTCGGTGGGGACGCCGAAAGAGGGCGCTCCGCCGACATCCTGAAGGCAGAGCTGGCAGTTGTGGGGGTGGTCCTTGCTGGCCTTGAGCATAGACAGTGTGACCTTGCAGGTGGATTTTTCCTTCCACTCGTTATGGTCGCACGTCGCGTACGGTTTGTCGTCGGCCTTCCTGTAGCGGATGATGAGACGCCCGTCGGGGGCACGACGTAGCGTCCCGACAGGGCCACTCGGGGTTGCCGCCCTCGAAGAGCGTCTTCTTCGCACTTTGCGCGGGGTCGGCTTGCTTACTGCGCTTGAGGGGCGAACTTGTAGACAAAGCGCTCATCGCTACTTAGTTGGGAGGGTGTGGGATGAATAGTGATCCTGTGAGGGGGGGGCAAGGGGAGTGTCCCTCGTTCGTGGTCCGCATTCAGCACTTACGCGTGGTGCTCTGAAGATCCGAAAATAGGGTGCGGCGATTAAAATATTTGCGTCCAAAACAGGGTGCGGGCGTAATGAAAGATAAAGGACGGTTTACTCGGGCCTATCCGGTTGTGGTATGCCTCTCGAGGTATGTTAGCCTGTGACCACGGAAATCGGCCGAGTCAAGTGTGGATTAGTACGAGAGATTGAGACAGGAGGTACTGGATAGAGAGACCGGGATGGTTTATAATGTGAAGACAACAACAACAACAACAACAACAATCCGGTGTCCGTTCGGTGTGCAGTGCCTGGTCGGTCTAAAAAAACTTAAGAGACTGCCGCACGTTCTTCGTAGACTGGGTCGTAGATTGCGGAGACGCCCGCGCGAGGGCAATGCCTCGGCCACGCCGCGCCCCGGGCGCCAGCGGCGCGAGCGCACACGTGCCAGAACGACTCGCTCCGCGCGTGCTCGGGAATCCCCGCGAAAACCGGAGCGAAAACGGCCCGGGAAGGCCCCGAATCGAGCTCTCGAAAATCTAGGACGCACGAGAGCTCAGCATTTTCGGGTTCTCGACGCTCGTGAGCTCAGCACTGTTGGTTTCTCGCCTTCCCGGACGTTTTTCTCTCCGGTTCTCGCGGCAACCACCGCGCACGCGCGCAGCGACACGTTCCAGCGCGCGTGCTCGGGGATCCCCGCAAAAACCGGAGGGAAAACGGCCCGGGAAGGCCCCGAATCGAGCTGAAAAGTCCAGGACGCACGAGAGCTCAGCGTTCCCCGAAGCGCGTCAGATGTGAAGATTCAAATATCGTAATATTAATTAGCTCTATTCCTGGAAATACGGTGACGGTACATATCTTGGCAGACACTCTCTAGCAAAAAATTGACGCTGCACCGCTGATTTGTTGTACGTAGACTACACATGTACTTCAAAGCATATGTGTGCGCGACACCATCGTTGACGTGTCGCAATGCGGGTACATGGAGTGTGGTGCAAAGGGTCTTTGTTTACGCCAGATTGGTGCCGTATGCGTGTGGCGGCTGTTGTGATAGGTTGCTGAAACTTTCGTCGAGTTGATATGGTGACTCACACGTGTCGAGGATGAACTTTTGGTGCCGCCAAACGTTGCGCTGTAAGTGCACGCCAATCGTCGTTGTCGTGTGTACTCTACTTAGTAGAACCTTGTGAGAAGGTGCTGTGGTCTTCTCAGAGAGTCACAACAGTGCTTGGTGGCACACACGCGCACACATCTACGTGTCCCAATATGCTCTGCTGCTGTCGTGTTCGTGAAATGCTGCTGTGAGAACACTCGTCGTTTTCCCGTAGTCTCCAGTACACTCCTGCAAAGGGAGTCCGTGGATGCCTGGTCCTGGCCGGTATTTGCGATGCGTCGTTTATGGTCGTGGCCCTTTTGGAAGAAGGTGCTGTGATGCAGGCAGAGAGTCACCAGTGGTGGGTGGCAATCACAAGAAAGTGCTGTGTCCGATATGCGCTGTGCTGCCACCATGTTCGTGCAATCAATGCTGCTGTGAGGAGGGTGCTACATTCACCCTCGGCAGCGTTGTGTTGGGATTCACAGGGCGATTGCGTGTGAACGTGTGTGTGAGTTGGTGTGACAAGGAAAAAAAATATCGAGGCCACACTATTTTCAAGTAAACGGCCGACATCGACGACGACCATCCCGGCTGTATTATGTTTAACATGATTTCCGGTGTGATTAATGCTTTCGTTTTCTCCTGTTTTTTTTTTTATGTCGGGTCGAATGTCACGTCACCCTTGGCACACTGCGCGCGGGTTGCACGCCAGCTGAAGCAAGCATCGTCGCGTTGCACGCTTTCGGCTTACAGAAGCTGAAATTGACGCATTATATAGTCTAGACTTGTAGTCAGCGCTGACAAGGTAGTCTAGATTATGGGTTAATTTCAGCTTCTTTCGCTTCGCATATGTACACTACCGCGTAGTAGTCAAAAAGCGGTCAAAGCTGAAAAGCTCGTGTAGACAAGATTCGACTTGATTGTTGACGAGGGAAGGGACCGCTGCACCTTTTCTCGCGATAAATATGAAGGCACGCACCGTAGGAGGAAGGTAGGGCATAAAACAAATAAAAAGAAGAGAAAAGCCCCGGACTTTACCCCCTCCTGTTATGGTATTACAGAGTCAGGAGACATACATATGTATGCCCGTTGGATATAGCGTTGTGGGATCCACCCTCAAAGATACAGGCACGGAGTAGTGCATGTAGCTTTGAGAGGTTAGGTCAACTGTCTCACATAGTGTGATAGTAGTAGCAACGAGCCCTCCTGCTCACTTGCCTGGCACCTGCGTTCCTGCTTGAGATTCTAATAAACGTGAGTGAAACCTGGGACCGACACCCTGCCTTACAGTGGTCGGGTACGCCCCACACTGCCTATCTGGAACCCGAGACCCAACTTCTCGTAAAATTCCTGTATCCTGTAAATTTATAACCTCGGCTGGTTGTAGTTGTCCAGAAAAATACACTGAAAAGGTGTAGGCTCTACATACACCGCAACGTGTAGCACACGTCTCTTGAACGGGGGGATTGTCGCCAGAAAATGAGACGAAAACACACATTAGGATTTTCTCGGAACATCTGCTGCCCTGTTCTCCCATCTTTTTCGCGACTCTTTGGGTCCTCGCGGCTGCCCATCACATGTGTCACGTCATGCTCGGCGCATTGCACGGCTTGCACGGGTTGTACGCGTCCCCGTTCCCGCCCCCGTCGCTTATTACCACCCCGTCTCTCGAAGTGTTGTCTTCACACGATATTTTTCAGAGATGTTTTTGCCGCCACCCCACCCAACACCAAAATAATCTCTGGCCGGCAGCACAAGTTGACAAACCGAACACGAGGAGTTGATCACGTATATTTACAACACACATACAAGATCGGCGGTAGCAGCAAGTTAACCGGCGGCAAGTCTATTTACAGTACATCACGAAGAGTTGGCACGGACGAGCCGGGGAGTATACGAGAAAACACGAGGAGTACATCGCGAACACGTGGGGCGAACACCGAGTCCGGACGTAAACAAAATGCACGTGGCTTGGGTCAAGTGGCCAGTCGCAAGCAAAGCCGTGTACGCGTAGTGCCAGGCCAGAAGCGAAGCATGTTGATTCGAGGACGACTACATCGGCGATAACAGCAGCAACAGCCGCGAGGGCAGGAGCGAAACCTACTCGTGAGTCTGGAGCATAGCAGTGGCAGCCACCGGTTGTTGATACTGGAGCGTAATCGAAGGCAAGGGCCGGTGAAATCCCGAAACCCATACCCTTGACGTAGCAGAAAGAATGGTTGCTTGCGGAGGTAAGCTCTACAAGCTTTACTGGTCGCCAGTCTGATGTCCTAGTCACTGCTATTCGATTGTCTGCCGTTAGAGGTACCGATACCATTGAACAGTCAAGTGCCATGCGTCGCATGTCCTTTTATTTGCACAAAACTAAAAACGGACATAGACGAAATGCACTGCGCGAATCTATCGTCAGTCGGCGCAAGCAACAGAATCCACGTCTTGGAGTCGTAAGCTTCGGACACAATACAGTTTCCCTCCCAGAAGAACATAGATTAGAGTTCCCTCGCCTTTCCGACCCCGACGACAAGGTTTGCGAGCACTGTGGAGCAATGCTTTGGAAAGAAGAGACTATTAGTTGTTGCAGTGATGGGGATTATGCTGTTAAGAATTTGCCTCTCCGTTACCCCTCGAGGTGGAACAATTGTTCGATGAACCTTCCCTCACCAAACTCAACGCAAGTTTAATTCTTTTGTTTTGTTCACAGCACTTGGCGCAAGCGCTTCAGGTTGTTGGAGGGGCCCGTCGGCACCTCCCATGTTGGCATTGTGTGGGAAAGCCTACCGGCGCATATTTGATGCTGAAAACAGTACACAGGGGAAGCTGTCGAACAATGCGCGTTTTTATATCTACGGTACTGAGCAGAGGCAGCACGGACAGGGACTTGTGCTCGAACCTGGAACGATTGACAGGCTCAAAGATATGCTTGCCGAACACAACTGTTGAGCATGGTACAACAGTCATATAGCATCGTTAGAAATGGTCACAATATTCTTGATCCACAGATTTGTGTCGGACTAATTTAGGGAGATGTACTGAAGTGCCATCATCAACCTCTGAAATCGCTGCGTGCATTTTTCAAGAAGGTGGTACCTCTCGCTTGTTTCGACAGGCAGACACACAGACGTTCCAGTTTCTACAGCCTATAAATCATCTGGGATTCGCGTAAAAAAGCGTGGCCCGGCGTAAGCCGCCGAAAAACCTTGTATGCCTGTTCCTGAGTCCGCAAGAAGTCGGCTTCAAGTTTCACTGCGATGCACGACCAAGTCATCCGACACTGCTATCGGTGACATATTATGCAGCTACCCGCAGTGCACACAGCAACACTATCTGGTGGTTTGCACGTACTGGTGGATTGGCACCTTTTACGTGCTTCATGGAGTAATATTGTGTTTCTAATTTTCCCTTCATTGTCGACCACCCGAACTCGATCACGATGATGTTCAATGTTTGGCAGGTGTAAACTGTCGCCGTCATGGCTTTCAGCGATGAATTTGACTCCACCAAGCTATACAATTTGCTGAGGGTGGTCGAAGAGGTGCGCAGTCTGCAAACAGAAGACGACGACATCCAATTTCCGGACATCGTCGTTTGTGGCGGCCAGAGCGCCGGGAAAAGCTCCGTGCTGCAAGCTCTCGCCGGGGTCAAGTTGCCTCGCACCAAGACGATGACAACGCGTGTCGCTCTCCAGCTCAACTTGGTTGTCGACGCCTCCGTTACGCAGCCATACGCCTTGATCGGCATTAGCCCGGACCTGGATAGGAGCTCGGACCGGTTCGAAGGTGATAAGCTGGAGGACCTTGGAAACAAGATCAACGAATATAATGACCGTTTGGCTGGAAAGGAAAAGGTAAACTCCACGGAAACGATATATCTGAGGATGGTTCGTGCGCGGGGGCCCACCATGACCCTGGTTGACCTTCCCGGCATATCGCACGATGGAGAACTCCGGAAGGCCACGGAGGAGTGTTTCGGCAATCGTTTTGCCGATCGCAACAACAACAAGCTGATTTTGCTCGTGAAGACTGTGGCGAGCGACGTCAACTGCGACTCGGCCATGGAGTTAGCAGCGAAGGAGGACCCTACCGGCGAAAGGACTTTCTGCGTGCTCACCAACGTGGACCGACCCTTCAACGAAGACATTGGCGAAATTTCACAAAATCTCAGGAAACGGGCGAAACGCGGGGTCTTCCCTGTATGGAATCCGGACACAAAACATGGGGAGCTTACTGAAGAGCAGGCGCGCCAGCAAGAGAAAAAGTTCTTCAGTGAGAACGCGCAGGTGGGGGGGGGGGGG